GGGGGGGAGGCATCTTCTGTTGCATCTGAAAAAGTCCACGTCTGGGGGATTCACCCTGGGATCAGAATACCTTCCTTTGTTAGGTAGAGGTAGGTTTGCTGTCGACCACTTTCCATCCATCCGTTCCATCGCTGACGACTCACGGCCTAGAATCACCATCCAAAGCGTGATACCTACACTCCTGCCAGACGAAAATGGTCAGTCAATGCAACCATCACCAGAAAGCTACACATGTGCGGCCATGACAAATGACGGACGATCTCTCACAATCAACGCCAGATGAGCAAACGGGTATTGTAGTATATGAAGCCTTCTTTGCCCCAGGCGTCAGTTGCCACTTTGACCGGCTTCCTGGCTTCCTTCGACGGCTTTTGTGTGTCGATGACGGTTCTCGCGACTACGTCCCTTGTGTGATGCCCGACATTGCACTTCCCATAATTGTTGATGAAGGACACATTCGGTGGATGTTCATATCATTGCCGTCACTTGTCTACACTGTCAGACTGATCACTGGTGACGTCTGTCCCATTTTGCGACCAAATTAACGCCCCGCAAGGTACCTTGTACCACCCCTCGAACCCGTGCCTGAAATCCGAAAACCAGCCGGCGGTTTGATCAAGGGGTTCGACTCAGTCGAGTAGTCAAACGGCCAGGACCAACTTGCTGGGATTTGGTCACCTTGTTCACTGCCAAGCCCTCGCTTTACCCTAACAAACGACGGCGCTCTTTCCATCTTGACCCAGGGTCCCGTTCGTTAGCTCCGTCGTCTTGCCTGGGGTTGACGTGGTAACAGTCGATCCACCCTTGCTCAACCTGCCATCAGCTCTTCCCGCCTTACTACCACCTGCCTGCCCATGCCACGCTCCCACTGTGCAGAGTATCTTCCTTCACTTCCACCATTTCCGCGGCAACCCATCTCTTTTCTTCCACTGCAGTCGTGGCTGTTTACACTTCTCTTAAACCTTTTCTTCGCCACCCCGCCTTCTCTTCTTTTCTCTCTCACGAGAACTTCATCAGGCTCAGCTTGTTCGACGCTCGTCATCCAACTTTCGTTCACTCCTTTGAACTCACCGGCCTGGTATTTGCCCGCCTTACATTCCTTCCCCCTCCACGCTCATTTCCGGATTTTCTTGGACGACGGCGCTGTCCTCTGAAACCTCCATCTCACCTTGATCTGACGCTCGACCTCGTGCTTGTGGTGACCATCCGTGGACCCCGATCGAGACAGACCGCCAAGCAACATTCTCTGTCTCTCGACATTGTCACTCCCTCGACCTGACAGTCCGTTTTTCTGAGTCGCCTTCTCGGAGAAAGAGAAACCAGCCGGCTGTTCGATTTCCGACAACCGACCCAGTTCTTGTCTCACCCAAAGCTCACTCGAGCACACGATCACAATCGACGTCCTTGAAGGATATCGATTATCGGTAACAGCAGTGCTGCCACCAGCTGGATCTGACTACATAACCCCCGGATATTCCATCCATCAACTTAAGGGTCTGCCCGTTTGAGAAAAAAATAACCTCGTCAACAACATCGACTACAACCCAAGGTACGTGATTGTTCAGCCCTATCCTACCCACCTGGTTCTTTGTTTGATGGTTCATCCCTCATTCATTCCATGGCGCACAACTACTTTGTTCTCGCAAACAAAGGTGGTCCCGCGTGATATACCCGAGGAAAGGGTCTTGCATGGGGGCCATGGTCCTGGGGGACATGGAAAGATGAAAACTGTTTCCTCGTTTGCTCGAGGATTATTGCACTTTTCGTTGGGTTTTCCAATCTTCATCCTCTTCAACTTTGCGAACATCGCAACTGTCGATCCTTAACCTTCACTTTATCACGATCCTTATTTATTCTTTTTGCCTGGGCCGTCAAATTTCTCCCAGCTTTCTCTTACACTCATCTAACTTCATTTCATAACAGACTCACAATCGTCTCTCTAGCGATTCAGAAATCAGCAAAAATGAAGACCTCTCTGATTCTCGCCGCCTCTGGCGCTCTCATGGCCTCGGCCAGTCCCGTCCTCCAGGACAGACGCCTCCACATCACCACCAAGGTTGTCGAGGAGTGGGTTACCGTTACCGTTACTGCCGGAGACGTGCCTTTTGCTACCGCGAACGCCTTTCACCAGCACGGCCCCGGCCGCCCGATGTATACTGCCCCTGCGCGTCCCCAGAAACCTTCCACGACCGCGGTCCAGCCGACTAGCCAGGCTCCCGCTCCCGTGCCGACCCCTTCTTCCAGCAGCATTGTCGTCGTTGCCCCGCCCCCTGCTCCGGAGACTACCTCGTCTACCGACATCATTGTTCCGGTTAGCTCTAGCACCAAGCAGCCCGAGCCGACTACTGCGCCTGCCGTCGTTGCTGCACCTCCTGCTGCCACCAGCACCAAGCAGCCCGAGCCAACTACTGCGCCTGTCGTCGTTGCTGCACCTCCTGCTGCCACCAGCACCAAGCAGGAACCTGCTACTACCAAGGTCGACTCTCCCGCGGCCCCTAGCGCCAGCGACTATGCCAGCACGCTTCTCTATCACCACAATATCCACCGCAGCAACCACTCTGCTGGCGCTTTGGAGTGGGGTGACTCCTATGCCCAGTATGCTCAGCAGGCTGCGGCTCCCTGCAAGTTCCAACACGACCTGTAAGATATACTCTGACCTTTCTTTTACTTCCAATTTACTGACAACCCACAAGGACTCCCGGCGGTGGTGGTTACGGTCAAAACATTGCCATGTGGGGCTCTACCAACCAGCAGACCGTCCAAGATGTTGGCGCTGCCAAAGCCGGTGCTCAGGCCACAACTAACATGTGGTATAATGGGGAGCTTTCCCTTTGGCCTGCCTCCGACTATGGCAAGGAGAACCCGGACATGACTAAGTTCGAGGACTGGGGCCATTTCTCCCAGCTTGTTTGGAAGGAGTCCAAGCAACTTGGCTGCCATACGCAGTTCTGTCCTCAGGGTACCATGAGCCAGCAGATGGACGTCTGGTACACTGTCTGCAACTATTATCCTGCCGGTAAGTTTTATTCATCCAAGATCAACGTACAGGCACTAACAGGTCTTCCCAGGCAACATGGGCGGTGGCTACGGCAAGAACGTTGCGCCTCCTCTCAGCCAGGCTCGCGTTGTTGCTTAAACGCACCCCGAAGACTCGCATCTTCGTAGGCAGGGGTGATGTTATGGGCTCATTCCTCTGGCTACATCGTGGCCACACTCCTGCCAAAGGCCCCCTTGTAGTAGGGTGTGCACATGTACACAGAACCCCATCAGCGACATCTTTGTTTCGATTTACTTCCCATACGCCTGGAGCGCGGCAAATCATGATCGGTTTTCCTCTACTAGGAGGTCTGTATCTACATCGGCAGTTGCGCAAACCAGCATGCATCGTCCAGTTATGGCAACACCTTTTGCGTCCGTTGGCTACGTAGAAACGCCATACATCTGGATTCTTACGACGACATGATATTTCGGTTTCAAAGGCAAAACAAAAGACCACCAAAAGGTTATCACGGGAATCATTTGGAGACAAAGGGACCGGTATCATGGTGGTATCTGCATTATTTCCTTTCTTTGGGTGTGGAATGTTATTGGCCGGCTACCTCAGCTGGCTGTAACACTTCTTTACCCTGGTTCACTTCTTGAACACTGATCTTTCCATGTTGTACGTAAGAAAGCTTCGATTCTTCTTTGGTTCTTTGGACGACGGACATGCTCCGCTCGTCGGTTTGGCTGTGAGTTGTGCCTTTGTTCATTTCAAAGGCTCGCTCTAGCCCGGAGGTACTTTTGTGGAGGATTTCTCGGCTTGGTAGATATCGCTGTCGATGGTGCGCTTGACTGTTGGTCTCGGGGCAACCTGACCACGGCGTCGCTGAAGGCATCATCGGGTTTCTCGAAGACGGACCCAAGAAGTCCCCAGTACAGATAGCCTGAAATACAAACCAAGTCCATATACATATAATCGTTCATGTGCTCTTGATATTGGTTCGTAAGGTATGACTCTTCATAGCAAGTTACAATTTCGCCCTGAACGCCTATCCGCAAGCTGCTCCTCCGCTTTATAATTAACAAACTCAAGTCATCTTTGGCTTTTTTTTGCATTTCCTTAATCCACAGTCTCCTAGTCATGTCATACACCGATGCGATGGTGATTCCCTTCAGGACAGACCGATTGATTCATCATAACAGTACCATTTCATTTCATAACTTTTTTTTCTCGTCCCAACTGCCCTGCCCGTTCTATGATCCCAAAAGCGAAGCTCTCTTCTAGGTAGGCGTTTAAGTTCTGTTTAGGTGTATATGTAATAGCGGATAATAAAAGGGAATCTTTCCTCGCTTCTTGGCCCTTGGAGTGAGCGCCTCTGCGACATGTGAAACACAATCAAAAGGGAAGCGAGCCACCACCCAAACTAGGCTGAAGGGAAATCTTCGACGACGACGATGACGGAAGACGAAGCTCACTCCACCCTATCTGAGCCCACACTACTTACTTCTTCACTCAACCTGCTTCTCACACCCAATCCGACCAAGCAGTTCCTTCCGATCACTGTGACCAGGCAGACTGACGCCCGTGGCCGTCACCCCAGCGCCGCCAGCGCCGCGTCTTCTCTCCACCCAGTTCTTGAGATCAAGCTCATCAACGCCGACCTCCTCCGCCAGCGCGCGAGTCTCCTCATAGACATACTCGGCAGACTCCTCCTCGTCATCCTCCGCGTCAATGTCATCCCCGCAGCCCTCATCATCGCTGCGCGTGTCATCGGCACCTTCGCCCTTGAGTACGCGCACGGCAACGCGGATGATGAGCGAGAACCACATGATGGTCAGGGCTTGCAGGAAGAGCAGCATCGAGAGGAAGGTCCACTTGACCGTGTCATCATAGCACACCAGTCCGTCGGGTTTCCAGAGCGGCTCGAGCAGGTACAGAGGGCCCTTGTCGGTGGGCGGCTGGAAGGGACCCGAAAGGTTCCCCTGGGACCCGGTGAAGCAGCCGTACGGCATGACCGAGGGCGTGTGCGCGTAGACCGAGTAGCAGACCGTCATGTACAGGACGTGGCGGGCAATGAACCACGAGACCATGAAGACGACGAACATGAAGTCGCAGGCGGTGGAGTGGCCAAGGTATTTGAGGCACTTGGCGAGCTATAAGGAATGGGGAAGAAGTGGTGTTAGTCATTTGTGGTGATGCATACGCCGCGCATGTTGGCGGTAAAGGGGGAGGGAGGGAGGGGGAGAGAGAGAGAAGACGCACCGGAAGGAACAAGTCCACAACATCCATTAGAACCAAGATAAGGTTACCAACGCGGGTGTGGCCGTATCTGTAAGAGGCGTAAATGAGGCAGATGGTGATGATGTGATGGGTGAACATCTGCCAGTGGTCCTTTCTGCGCTCTTCAATGTTGATAACCAGAATCTGCTGCAGCCAAAAGGCCAGCTGGGCAAGCATGTATCCCTTCATGAGTCCGGTAAGCTCACGGTTGGGCCAGTTCGTCCAGAGCTCTCGGAGGTTGAAAAAGTGCGGTGATTGGCAGTAGATGTACTAAATGAGAAAAAAATGGCTTGTCAGTCGACGGCCAAAAACTTGCGAATGTTCACCCGCGCCACGCCGCGCTGCGCTGCGCCGGAAAGAAACGAAGGCGGCGCCATGGCATGAGAAAAGAGAAAAGAAAAACGTACGAGACCGAGAGTCCAGAAGACGCTGTAGTAGATCAGGAGCCAAGCCTGTTCGCTAAACCTGGTGATGTCCTTCCTCTTGGAAATACCCTTGGACTTTGCGTACGGCGCGAACAGGTATTCCAGAGTGGCGGCGCGGAGGCCGGTAAAGAGGATGATGCAGAAGAAAATGAGAAAGCCGTCATCCTTGCCGAGGCCATATTGTCCGGACGTCGGGTTGTAGTACGAGAGCGTAAAGTACTTTCCGGTGTGGGAGCGGGCGCGAGGCATACATCCATGGGCGAGGAAGAGGAGAGCGAGGAGGTTGAAAGCGAAGCCTGTGGTAAGACAGAGGAGTTAGTGGTTTGCTTCCTGACTAGAAAGTGTCTCGTAGTTCAAAAGGGAACATGTTCACGTACCGATCTGGTTCTCAACGAACCAGCGCGTCAACTGCTTCATAGGGCCCTCGCCCTTCCTCTTGACGCGACGAACAAGAACGATGTTTTCGTTGCGCTGCATGTAGAGGGGTCCATTCATGTTCTTGGGGTTGCCAGACTTCTCGCGTTTGACAGTCCTCCGCTGAGGTGGGAGAGCTGCGCTGCTGCCGGTGCTGGTGACTCCGGAGGACGGAACAGCAGATGTCGCGGTATTCCGTCTCACTCGGTGATGGTCGGCCCCATTGCTGGAGCCGTGGGTATGGGAATCGCCCATGGTCAAGCTTGGTAGCTGGCGACGGCGCGCCAATTGGTTCCGCTGCCTGGTAAACAACTGACGCAGCAGTGGACTGATGAGGCCTGAAAGCGGAGGCGGCGGTGGAGCTGGGCGGCAGCTTTCAGAAGCTCAAAGATGGAGTATGTAGATTCGACGGGATTCTTGGTGACGGGTACAGCACAGGCCGGGGAAGCGTATGTACTGAGTCGAGTGATCGAGTCCGCAAGGTGGGCGACCAGATGGACAGAACTGGATCCAGAGACGCGGGCAGAGGAGGGGATTCCCTGTTCTCTCGTCGAAGAACTATGCGCCGTGTTGCACAATGGGATAGCGAATGCGATACAAGCAACCACAAGGAGACACTCTTGTCGCCGCCAGCGTGTCTGGTAATCAAGCGAATGTAAATAGGAGGAGGAAGAAGTTGGGATGGCGCGAGGACGGATGGGCAAGAGGAAGAAGGTCTGGACAGCTAGACGAAGAGCAGGACAAGCCCCGAGGAGGAGGGCTGGGCTCGGCGAGGTGTGGATCAAGGAGGGTCAACCTTAACAATACAACCGTCCAATGTTTGGCGATTTTAAAGACGGAAGAGGAGAAATAAAGACTGCGGGCACGAAACGAAACGAGGGACGGGAACAGGGTCGCCTTGTCTGTCACCGAAGAGGGGAGGGGGGAGCCTTGAGGGGGGCCTAGGCGCTCGTAGTCTCTTTTTTTGCAACGGTACAACTCTAAAAGCGGCAATGGACACCGCCGAGACACCACCTTTCAACGCACGATGACCGGCGTATGGATGCTTGGGCGGATATGTGTTTGAACTCTTTGGATTTTAGCCAGATGTCGACCCAAGCCAGGTGGGAGGAGACAACTTGAAGGCGATCCACCAGAACAAGGCCCAAATGGAAGGCGGTGGGGGGAGAGGGAGGGGAGGGGGAGCGGTGCAAGGCGAGGGTCTGTCACGTCCTTGCCCGTCGTTTGTCTGGGGTGATGAATTTCCCAAATGTTTTTTTTAAAAGGGGAAGCTGTCTTGGCAACTTTTGGGACGAACATGTTCGGTTTGATTGGACCGAGCTTCATCAGAGATCCGTCTTTTTGGCTGCATTGATGCACAGACAGCAACACCACAGCCAAGCTCTCAGAACCCAATGGCGGGGAAGCATGGACCCTTTTTGGCCGGGTTTACCTAAAATTGTGGCTTGTGATAGGATGTCGTTGGAAACTCACAATGGCTTCAAAATGTCTTCAATGGGAAACTTGTTCTTCTTTTTCTTCCGTCCTCTCTCTCTGGCAAACAAATTACACAGCCATTGAGATTGGCTGCATGGATACTTCCCGCCCCTCCTTTTCCTCCTTTTCCCCCACCTCAACTTCAATGCTGGATGGCTGCTGCAGACTGCTGCAGTGCTTGCTGGCGGCTGCTGAATGCACCTTTCCTCCTCCGCATCCCATCCCACGCATGTGCCACCAGACAGCTCCATGATACGACGGGAGGATGGACTTTGTTGTAACATTCCTTCATGTTATGTTTTCTCACAGGTGATCCATTGATAAAAAACATGAATCATTGATGCCATTGACAAGTAGAACAATGGTGACAAAGTTTCCATTTTCCACCAGATGATGTTGTACTGTGCGGCCAGTATCATGAAACCTGTTGTCAATGATGATCCTGGACATCTGGATGGCGACTTCGCAATTCGGGCACGAGGCGATTCTGTTGAGTTGTCAATTTCCTAGTGTGAAAGTTGGACAAAGCGGTCAAGGATCAGCCCAATACCAATCTCGAACCCCTATCTTTTCACTCGCTGTAATCCTGTGAGCCAACCCTCAACAGGAATCGAAAAGGAACGACGGCCTGGAAGAGCCGGCATACCTAGCGTCTTCTCGAACGTGATTTGCTCAATCCTTGTTTCGATAAGTGGCTTGAGGTTAATTTAGACTTTGCTGGGCTACCGCTCGTCTGAAATACTTACGTACCCTGAATGATATCTACCTAGGGTGTCCTTCAGTTGACCGTTCACAGATGCTACCCAAGACGAACAATTGAAATGATGCGTGAAAGGCTTCAATGGCAATCACAAAATTATGTAACTGATCAAACTGGAGGTTTCCATCTCACAATTGTAGCAATCATTGAGTCTCTATAGGTAGTACACGTATACCACAAGCGCCACAAGCGCAACATCGTTGGAAGTTCTCCTGAAGTTGCCCCTCAAGCATGTGGCAGAGACGGGACCCCTTTTCTGTACATTCCGCCCCGCACGCGCTTGGCATAGAAACCCTAACCCTCGTAAACCGCCAAGAACTTCCTGCACAAGTCGCGGTGAGTCTCGAGCGCGTAGGGAGTGCATGGTCCAGATTTCTTTAACAGTTCTTGGCATCCGTCCTTGTGACAAGGCCACCAACGTCGTCATCGCAACCATCACCAAAAATCAACTCGAACCAAACCTAGTTGCGCGGATACCCTCGAATTAGGCCGCGTCACCCACAGCACGACACGGGCGGCGTACACAAAGAATCGCACCGGGAAAATCTCATGATCTGATAGCCTACCTACCTACAAGACAATTTCCACCCATCAAAAGAAAAAGAAGAACGATTTATCCAGCGTAAAAGAGAACGGAAATAACAGAAAATACCACAACCAAGGAGGAAGGAAGAAGTCGCAGCGAAAAGGACAACCAAAGATAATCAAAAACAAAATGAACCAAATCCGCGCCATCCAAGCCCTCAACAAGCGCGAGATCGAAGCCGGCATCCCGCCCGAAGCCTCGTGGCACGTCGACTACCGCGACACCGCCTTCGTGTACTTTGGCGGCCTGCCCTACGACTTGTCGGAGGGCGACGTGATCACCATCTTCAGCCAGTTCGGCGAGCCGGTGTTCCTCAAACTAGTGCGTGACAAGGAGACTGGCAAATCGAAGGGTTTCGGCTGGTTGAAGTACGAGGACCAGCGCAGCACCGATCTGGCCGTCGATAATCTGGGAGGAGCAGAGATTGGCGGGAGGTTGATACGGGTCGATCATGCGCGCTACAAAATGAGGGATGATGAGGATCCGGAGGAGGGCAGGATTGGGTGGGAGAATATGGTGCGGAAGGAAAGAGCGGAGAAGGGGCTGGGATCTGAAGATGAGACCGGCGAGGATGAACAAGATGAAGAAGAGGAGGATAAGAAGACGAAGAGCAGGCCGATGCTAAAGGAGGAAAAGGAGCTGCAGCTGCTTCTGGAGAATCACGATGATGATGATCCCATGAAGGAGTTCTTGATTGAGGAGAAGAAGAAGGAGGTCGAGGAGGCGTTGAGGAGGGAAAAGAAGAGGGAGGAGAAGGAGAGGCACAGGTCTAGTCATCACAGTCGGAGACACAGGCACCGTGATGATAGAGATAAGGATAAGGATAAGGACAGGGAGAGGGACAAGGAGAGCCGCCATCACCATCGATCACACCGGTCTCCGACCAGGAGAGTTGAAGACGACAACAGCGACATCAAAGGCCGTGACCGCGACCGCGACAGCAAACGGAGTTGTGGTGACCGGTCTCTTTCTCGTTCTCGGTCTCGTGATCGCAAAGACAGAGACAGAGACAGAGACAGAGACAGAGACAGAGACAGGGTCAGGGACAGGAGCAGAGACAGGAGCAGAGACAGACGCAATCGTGACGGTGACTCTGCCGACCGAAAAAGGCCGAGGCCCGAGAGAGGAGAAACCTCACCTGCTGCTGCTGAAAAGAGGAGAAGACGCGACGACGTGGATGGCGTGGAGATGAAGGACGCAGCAGATCGCGACGGTAGGCAGCCGCAGCGAGGTTCCTCTAGGGACAGAGACAGAAACCGGGACCGGTATCGGGACCGGGAAAGGGACAGAGACGGAGGAGACAGGCACAGCAGCAAAAGAGACAACCGCGAACGCGATCCCACAGAAGATCGTGAGCGCCGTCGGCATCGCGATACCCGGGACCTGGAAGATCGAACCAAGAGCAGCAGACACAGGAGCAGGAGTCCACGGCCGACATCTAGAGGTTAGGCGGGTCTGGACTCTTTCGGCTTTTGCTTGGGTGGAGCGAGCGGTCCAGATCCACATGACACGGTGAGTACATCTGCTTTATATTGCCGTGTCTAGATCAACGAAGCCCTGTGTTCTTGCAAATATAAACTCTCTCGGTATTATCCAGGACCTTCTTAGTCTTTGCCGAAGATTGAATGAAAAAAAAGAGATACAGCAATGATATAATCAATGTCTGGACTATTTGTGCCCCGCTTATTCCTAAAATAACACCTCGATATGCTGCTGGTGACCATACATACTATAATATCCTCCTGCTGTTGTCAAGTAATATATCCCCTCTGGGATCCTGGAAAAAAGTTGTTATCATCCAAACACAAGCTCTCAATACGATAAATAACAGAACGATATCGTAGTAAACCGAAATCTTGCGTGAATGCCAACGCCTTTATGCCCTCTGTTATTACTTAGCTGATTCCTGGACATCGTCACTTCAAAAGGCTTCATGGGATATCCCCGATCATCCCTCCTTTCAACGCCCGTCTCACAAAAATATCCAATCCCCCAACCGTTCGTCCACCTAAGGCGTCTCCCCGCTGTACCTCTTCCACGCAACCCTGACCAGCTTGCGTCCTCCTCCACCCTGGTATCCCGTCTGCTGCCCGCCCTCCTGGACCGCAAACTTCTCCCACTTGGGATCTCTCCCAGCTCCAATGACAACCACCTCCGTGTCGCTGATCCAGCCCAAGTTGCCCTTGAGTGGGCCCCCGATGATTCCCTGAGAACCCGGCTCGCGGCTGCCGCTGGACACGGGCTCGTCGGCCATCTCGAACCTGGCCGAGGCAAACGAGTACTTGTCTGTAAAGACGCGCGGCATCATGGGCAATTTGGAGAGGATGCCCCAGCGACTCTGGCCGCCGTCGGTGACGACGGCGGCCATCATGTCTGAGCTGCCGCCAAAGCTGGTGCCGTTAACTATGACACTACCGCCGCCGCCGTAACCACCGCTGGATGCGACCGAGTAAGGGCTAGAGGGGCGGTTGTTGCCCGTGCCCATAGAGGGTTCGCCGGCTGCATGGGCAGTGCCGCCGGCGTTGCTGGCAGTGGGTCTCACCGTGCCGCCACCGGGACGAGGCACGTCAAAGACGTGGAGGGTGGATTTGTCGGATGTGCAGGCTAGATAGTTGCCTGACGGGTTGAAGCCGATGGAGAAGATGATGGCTTTATCGATGCCGCGGCGCAACTCGTGCAGGCGGGCACAGTTGGATGTTGCGTAGACTCGGATTATGGTTCCCTATCACAGGTATTAGAAGGTCGTTCTGGTGTCAATATCTCATTCATAGGTCCTTACCATCTCGCTTGCGGTAGCCAACAGCTCGCCATCTTGGCTCAAAGCCATCGCCCTCAGCGCCGACGTGTGCGCGGGTATGATGCTGACACTGCCTGTTTCAACCTCCACGACCTGGACGTGGCCGACCGTTCTGCCCGGGAAAGCGATGCGCTCCGAGGAGAGACAGCATAGGCCAAGAGGGTTGTCGGCCGTTTCGTATGTGGTAAGAAGGGTGCGGGGTTTGAGGGTTTGGTGGACTTGTACTCGGTCCTTCAAGGCCAGAACGATTCGCTTGCTAGACATCTTGGCCCCTCGAACTGATGTCGAGGCGTTGATGACACCTGCTTCCTTTTGGGCCTTGTCGTCCCATAGGAGAAGCTGTATTTCACCAGTGTTAGTAAATGAAAGAGGACTTGGTAAAGCTGGGAGCAAGACGAATGTTGCCATGACTTGACTTGACTTGCCTTGTTTCGGCTGAGCTTCGTCTGCCGTCCTCCACCAACCAGTCCAAGAATGTTGGTGCACCCAAGCATCTGGACCATCCCGATACCACCACCCATGTCTGTATGAGAACATATTTATTAGTGAATTGTTATATGGTTGAAGCGGTGGTGCGTGTTTTGGTCAGAACCTACCACGAGAAAGTCTTGCATCGCATGACCGCGACCCATAAACTAGACGAACATAATCCATCAGCGTTTTGTCCCATATTGACGATATCAAACACAAGCAACAGGGCTTTCTTTCGAGACTTACCGCGGAAACCATGCTCTAAACCGACGGCGAACCAGCTGTTGTCATGGTTGAAGGTAACCGACAGCACGGGTGCGAGTGTTGGATGCTCAAGGATCCTTCTAGTATCCATTGCTGCCTCTACGGGTTGGCGCAAGCCAGCAAGTAGAGCGGAGAAGGGAAGTATTGATAAGTTGAAGGGATTTTGCCCGGGCTATAGACCGAACTCAAGTATACCACCACCCTTGAACCTCTTTGTACAGAGGATCTTGCTGTTGGCAGGACTTGACGGGGATAGGTATAGGGGTAGTACAAGCACTATCTCAAGTAATAACCAAAGGTGTGAAGCTGCAGCTAAGGATCTACTTGCTGACTGGGTGTATTTGGCGCACTGGGCGACCTAAGCTCGCTCAGTCTGGTGGTCTTTTCGGGGGGAAGAGAGCGGAGGCGGAGGTTCGGGCTGAGGAGATGGTCAGATCCCACGCGGCCATGAATGGGTCGTGATCAATCTGATAAGAGAGGAATCGATATGATACAGAGTGACAACTCTGCCGTCAGATGGATGGGTAGACTCTGCTGGGAAATCGTTGGCAGCTACTGAGATACGTCGGGAGCTCGAGAGGTGAGGATGTCAGAGGTTGTAGATGGAACAAAGAGTAGTGATGTCGTTAGTCCGTCGATATGTATATATGCAACAGGGACCTGCGTGGCCGCAACAGTCAAAGCCGGATGTTCAACGCTCTCAAAAGCAGGCGCCCTGACATGCCGCATGCAACTAACTGACGCTCTCCACACTGCGGACGGAAGCATTCAGTAGGTATGTCGAAGTTGCAGGAGATAAAAGGGTACGGAGCATCACCAGGGCTGTATGGTTTCTTCACAACGTTGGTTCGCGATGGAACGGGAGTTGTGTGTCTATGGTTTTGTTTAGGTCCTGAGGCTTTTTGAAGAACAATGGGATGAGAGAACAAGAAAGACGGGATTCAGCAGGGACGGGCCGACAATGAGAGCCTCACATGGCGGCTCGGTTAAGATATATGCGCTGGACGGCAGGACGTCGAGGATGCTTGGTCTGAAGTGGAAGTCTGGTTGAAAGTGACGGATGGATCGCAAGAGAAGATTCCCGCCTGGCCCCGCGCCGATGACAAGTACACCCCGGACATTGGGGACGGCGCCTGGAGCTTCTGACGATGAAATGGAGCATGCCCCGGTGATGGATCGACGGGACCGAACATGGACCTCCAACACGACTTTCGACTTCGATGAAGCAGCACAGCAGCAGGCTGTAGCGAAAGTGCATGCAGATACCTGGCAGCTGGCAACGCAGTTGCTGGAAGCTGCACCCCAGCTGTCCACTCTTCAGAAGCTCGAATCACGGGGAGGGGTCTGGCGAGACAGCCTGGGGTTGGGGTTACACGCTTTTCCAGAAACAGTCAAGCGTCAGGAGCTTAGCAAATGACCCCCTGATTGCCATGGAGCTGTTGTTTATTGCGGACTGGGGAGTTGCGTGGGAGAGGTCTTGCCAATTCCCATCTGAGTGATTGCAGCTTCATCAGGTAGGTCGATGTGTCCGTGACGAGTCGCATGAGCTGTGAACTGTGTCGCTCTACGAGATCGAATCGTGGTACTAAAGTGATTGTGAACCATTGTAAACTTTTCATGTTCTCTTCAGTTCTCTGTTCGATTGTCCTCGTATCTGAAGGTTGTTCCTCGAGCTTCCACTTCCACTTCTGCCCTGCGACATGATGTTTCCCGTTTGTCTCCACTGTGTGTTTATTCTAAGTAGCCCGTGATGAGTGGGTTGGCTCCGTGCTCTGGGCAAGCAAGCACAGGTCCCGTAGCTGGGGGTCGCTACTGTAGCTGCATCCATCTTCACTGTGAGAACCCGAGCCAGCGCGCTGCCTCTGTCGCTCCCTGCGGGCGGCGGGCCACGCCTGCCCTCGTCGTTGGCTCCTGGCTTGTGGTCCCCATCATCCCGTCCCGTCCCTGTCACTGGCAGCATCCACGCCCACGTCCGGGCCACTCTGGGCATGGGCAGCAGTCCAGTCCATTGCCGTAACACCGCAACATTTTGTGAAATTGCACTTCCCATCTTCTCCTTTTCCAATCTGAACGCCCACTCCACGACCTCTCCACGACTTCGATACCCTCGCTCTCACGCGGCCAGCACTACCTTACCTCTCTACCCGACTCCATCTCCGTCTTCCAACCCATCATCTCAGTCGCCGCATTTTTGGTGACTGGATAGCCAATCCCATTAACCATACTACCACTATTCTTCCCCAGTCAATCCTCCGAGGTAGACACTCCCCTTAATTGCCTTTTGCTTGTTTTTACGGACCCGTCTTCAAGAAATTAAAGGCGCCAACCGCCAGCTGTCACCATGTCTCTGCCTGCCGTATGTTTTGTTTGTTTGCTTGCCTCGTTCTCGTTGTCCTCTCACCGTCCTAGCACTCCATCTTCGTGTCTTCGACCTACAACGCTACTCATTGCTGCCCAAATAAGCTATCCGGTTGCCCGTCATGTTTACTAACACCATCTCCTCTCGGCAGAAGATGATCCGCCGCAAGAAGAATGTCAAGAAGGGTATCCAGTTCTGCCTGATGGTCTGTGGCGCATCAGGAACTGGTAAGTCCTTCCAACCCCCAACAAGGACTACCCCGTCGTGCTTCGATCGAGTGTTGACCATCGCGTATCTCCCCAGGCCGTACCACCTTCGTCAACACCCTCTGCGGCAAAGAGGTTCTCACCCACAAGGACTCCGATGATCCCGCGACCGCCCACGTCGAGGAGGGCGTCAAGATCAAGCCCGTCACAGTTGGTACGCTTCACACTCCAGTCGAGGATCTTCTGGTGCGATTGGCGGTTGTCTAACTGTCTACACTACAGAGCTTGAGCTCGATGAGGAGGGGACGCGTATCGCCCTTACCATTGTCGACACACCCGGCTTCGGCGACCAGATCGACAACGAGGCTTCCTTCTCCGAGATTGTTGGCTACCTCGAAAGACAGTACGATGATATTCTCGCGGAGGAGTCGCGCATTAAGCGTAACCCCCGCTTCAGGGACAACCGTGTCCACGCCATGCTCTACTTCATCACCCCGACCGGCCATGGGTAGGTTTCAATCCTTCCACTATACCTTTCAAGCGCGACTAACATGTGCTATCAGTCTCCGCGAGCTGGACATCGAGCTCATGAAGCGCCTTGCGCCCCGAGTCAACGTTATTCCCGTTATCGGCCGTGCTGATACGCTCACCCCAGCTGAGCTTGCCGAGTCCAAGAAGCTGGTGATGGAGGATATCGAGCACTACCGCATCCCAGTATACAACTTCCCTTACGATATTGAGGAGGACGATGAGGATACCGTGGAGGAGAATGCCGAACTCAGAGGTCTCATGCCGTTCGCTATTGTCGGCTCGGAGGATATCATCGAGATTGGTGGACGCAAGGTCCGCGCTCGCCAATACCCATGGGGTGTCGTTGAGGTCGACAACCCGCGCCACTCCGACTTCTTGGCCATTCGTTCCGCCCTTCTTCATTCGCATCTCGCCGATCTGAAGGAGATCACCCACGACTTCCTATACGAAAACTACCGTACCGAGAAGCTCAGCAAGAGTGTTGAGGGTGGTGCTGGAGTGTAAGTGCTTCCCTGAAGCTCCCCGGTTGCGACCACATGGAGACCACATTACTAACATTACTATAGTGACTCTTCGATGAACCCTGAAGATCTCGCCTCCCAGTCCGTTCGTCTCAAGGAAGAGCAGCTGCGTCGTGAGGAGGAGAAGCTCCGTGAGATTGAGGTTAAGGTCCAACGCGAGATCAACGAGAAGCGCCAGGAGCTCCTCGCCCGCGAATCTCAGCTTCGTGAGATTGAAGCCCGCATGCAACGCGAGGCGGCGGCGGCTGGCCAAGCAGGGACACCCACCACCAGCCACAGCCATCAGGACATTAACGGTGGCCCAGATGGAAACTAAGCACCAACGACACTAGCACTCACATTACCTAATCTGTCGTCACTGTTTACATCCACATGAACAGCTTCAATACCCCACAGGGCAATCGGGTCATTCTATGCAGGCGTTGGTTCTTTGGTGTTGTTTGATAAAATATTCCCCGCTGTTTGGCGACTTTTTTTACTGGAGATGATGGCTCCAAAGAAGACATATATGATGGTGACGACGACAACACGGTGGGGGGTTCAGTCTTGACAAGGACATACCATCAAGCTGGCATTCAGTACAGCCTTAACTTCATCGGGAAACCCTTCTCTGGGCGGGTCACGTTTTGACCAGTCCGTGGAACTGGTATGCTCAGTTTGTCTGCCATTGGTGCAGCAAGGGGTGTCGAAACACGACTGCTCGGGACAAGAAGGGCCTGGGAACGTATTGACGGGAAATGATTTTTACCCGTATGACTTGTCTTGATTATTTTAGGGGCTTTAGGTTTTGTCCAACACCTATGGCGCCACCCCGAATTTTCCAACTTCTACTATTGGACTTCTAATGCAGATATCAACTAAATTAAATGTACTTCACTCGTCTCGGATTAGCTTCTAAACGTTGAGCTTAAGATATGTGTGTCCATGCTGCTGCGCAAAGTGATATTGGCACTTACGAAGTTGTCCACTCGTGTCAGAGTTGAGTTGTCGTTAAGTACACATCTCTGCGCTTGTTGTCACATCACTTGATCGCCCTAGCCGGTTCCGCTCAGGTAAGCTATAACGAGAGGTGATATTATAGAGTCAAGTCGAAAACGCTGGAGTGTGTTTTGTGTTCCTAGTTGATATAAGAGAACACCAGACCCTTTCCATCCTCACGATGTGTTGACCTTCTCGTCTAACGTCGTCAGCCTAATGTGTCGCAAATTCATGTTACCAGGTGAAACCCAATTGAAGAAACCAAGCAGTAACGAAACCCAAATCCAAAAGAGCCCTATCCTACGCATGTTATTTCCCATAATCCCATTACCCATCCATCCACGACTCCTCACCACTAGCAACACAGCACTGTTACAGATCCCATTCCGTCAATCCGAATCACTCGCGTACCCGTCTTCTTCCTAGTTATCCGACTGGCTATTGAGAATCCTCAAAATAGCCAAAAACAGATTCAGGATGTCCAGATACAAGCTAATCGCCGCCGCAATCTCCTCTTCGACATGGAACTTGCGCATCACCAGCTGAGTATCAACCAGGATATACCCGCTAAAGACCAGCGCGGCAACACCGCCATACACCAGCTCGCTCGTACTCGTGTGCGGCAAGAAGGCGTACACAAAGCTCGTCAGGATCAGGCCCCAGAGGATACCGCCCAGGTAGGGCATCCACGAGGTGAAGTCGTACTTGGTTTGGCAGGCGAAAGCGGTAAGGAAGACGAAGATACCCGCCGTGATGACGACGGCGAGTAGCACGGTGGCGGAGTCGAAAAACGAGACGCAGACGCTGATGGAGTAGGCTTCCATTAGGGTGAAGCCCGAGAGGAAGAGAAGGTTGGTGGGGTAGGATTGGCGCTTCCAGAAGGTGAGGAGCATGAAGACTAGGGCGCCGGCGAACTGTTTTGGTTTTTGGGTTAGTAGCTGCTACTGTGATATTATTTGACTGGGGGAAGAAACTGGAAAATAACGTACCGAAACCCAAATCATGGCCGGATGAGACTGGATCCAGTTCTTGTAGCCATCGCTGAGGAAGCTGAGGGCAGAAACGGCGCCCGTGGCGATGAGCTGGACTGTCAGGATGGTGTAGACCTTGCGGATGAACTGGTGACGGATTTCAACTGTGGCTTCGGCTACGGAACCACCAAACTGTTTTTGTTATTCATCGTGTTAGTCGGTTTGATCATACATCTTTGCGGGACCTGAACAGGCATTTCTAGCCCAAAAGAGTATTTTTCGTGTTGATGGTGGTGGTTCTCCTACCTTGAAATCATCGGGAATATCATCTTCGTCCTGGCTGCTGCGTGGAGCACCGGAAAAGAGGCGAGCCTGATCACCGAGGACGGCGTTGGCGGTGCTACTCTCGGCTGTTGCTTGGTACGACGGAGGAGGCTGCGCGTAGTCGAGGTGGACATCGGGGTCCTCCTGCGGAGCAGGCGTGTACTTCGTATTCGACATTGTTTCTCTGATGATTGTGATCCTCTCTTGGGTTGTTCTTGTCGCGATGTTGAATCAAGATGGTTGAGGCGAACAATACGATAATCACTGAACCGAAGACAGATGGTCGGATGGAAAAGGACGATTCTAGGTGATGTAAGTGGACGGCTGAGAGGTTATAAGAGGGCGCCCGGAGAGATGTAATTGATCCGCTGATGACGGCGTTGTAGTGCAACAGTGGACTTCAAGGTGGATATGTAATGGATTTAGGACCCCAGCGCGGGGATGACGGACTTCGACCTTGCCCCAGAGTGGCGCAGCGAGTCACAATCACAGGGAGCACTAACCGAAATGCACAGAAATTTGGTGCGTATCTGTTATATTCGGGTGACTGTCCCGAACCTTCCACCATTTTATCGAAACTTCGTCAGCGCCAAACTTGAAAGGGCTGTCACATCTGCTCTTTTGTTGGTCCTGCTGACCCAGCCTGGTCGTAAGATGGTATGGATAAGGGTTAGGGTTGGAAGACAAAGCAATGAAACCACCAGTCACAGAACCCCGCCCTGATCGACACATGCGAAAGGGACTCCACCAAATAGGAAGGGACTGGCAACGGTCCTCCCTGCGCGCCTGCGTGGCTCCCGTTCCCCAGCTCAATGGTCCACCGGCGCAACAACGAGCCTTGTATCATTTGTTGGGTTGCACTTCAGCACGCGAACTGAGCGCTGGAGCACCTGGAAGCAACTCGCGTTTCGGGCAATTGACGGCCCGCCAGTAGGAAACACTTGGGAAGGTCCAGCTCATCAGGGCAATTCCGACTCGTGCCTTATCGACCTCTAGAACTACGGCTTTCTCTCTCCGTTTGCCTTTCACGACAAAGACCCTCTCGACACTACCACACGATCGCCGGTTCAGCGCGCCATGACAAGGCCGGACCTCTCACGACGAGAACTTTGAGCCCATCACTACTATACCGCCCCGGAATCTAACCCACGGGTCCAGATGCGATAGTCCCAGCGCGGCCCCCAATATCAACAATATCAACGCGCCGCGCTGTCGAACTGCCCAAGCTTTGTGGATACAGACACGATTGGAGGAGCCGTTCAGGTTCAAATAGGACGGCAGAGACCGAGCCGTAACCATGGCGGCCAACACGAACAGATACTCGAGCTACACGGCTGTGTCGAGTTCCGACTCCAGAAATGGCGAAAAGGAGAAGAAGGAGCTCTGGAGCTCCATGCTGGACTCTGTTGCCAGCGCCAAACGCCTGCCCGAAAAGAACATCCTCCTCCTAGGCGGCAGTGTTGACTCTCAGCGCGAGTTTTTCGAATCCCTCTCTAGAAACGAGGTTCGGCGCAACACCGACCGCCAGGGCTCACGCAAACCACCCATCGCAAACAGCTTCGCCCTCGGATACACCTACTACGACGTTTTAGATGCCGACCAGGAGGACACCCTAGCGCGCATCTCTCTTTATACCCTTACCGATCCTTCGCCTGCTTTTGCCTCCCTCATACAGCCGCTTATCACACCGCAGTCGATACCGAACACGCTGATAGTTATCCTGTTGGACTGGTCACAGCCCTGGAAATGGATGCGCCAACTGAGAGAGTGGATTTTGCTTTTGCGAACAGTCTTTCAAAAACTCAACCGCGAATGCTCGGCAACTATGGAAGAGGTCATGACCGTTTGGAGGGAACGGGGTCGAGGTGGCGGGCTTAACTTGGATGGTACCAGCGCTGTTCCGACTACCTCTGCGGATGCTGATGTTTCTCTTCCGGTTGGTCCTGGAGAGTGGGAGGATGCCTTGGGAATGCCTCTTTGCGTGGTGTGCCAGAATGTGGGTTGCTCAAACAAAACTGTGAAGACACCATGGGGAAGCTAACATGTTGACCCAGGCCGAGAAGATGGAGCATTTGGAAAAGACTCAGGGCTGGAAAGAAGAGGAGTTTGACGTGGTGCTACAGTTTCTCCGGACAATCCTGTTAAGGCGTAAGCCATGCCCACCTGGTACCTCTTTACTCAATGACAGGAAACTGACAGACACTGCTTTGCAGACGGCGCATCGCTGATTTACACCACTCCTTCGTTGCCCTCGCAACTACCCACCTTGGTCCACTCCAGCTTGGGCATCCACTCTCTCCTCAAGAAGCAACCACTTAAACACAACGTTATCGACAGAGATAAGATTCTCGTGCCCCCGAACTGGGACTCGTGGGGTAAAATCCGTGTGCTCAGGGAAGGATTTGATGTCGAGTCAGTCAGTTCCGGGTGGACAGCGGATTTAAGCATACCGTGGCCACGACAACCTGAACGCGCTGCCAATGGCGACGATGATCAACAACTAGTCAAGGCAAACGACAACGAAACCGGTGACGAAGAACAAGAACTCGGCGAGGATGAGGACGAAGAGCCAAAAGAGCCCGAGGGATCCTCCGTTGCACTGTACGAGGCTTCCGTGCAAGATCCAACCATGGACGCGCTCCATATTGCCGGTTCTAGCAGTCACTCGACCAAGTTGGAAGTGCAGACAACAGAGACACAGCAGTTCCTGGAAAAGCAGCTGAAGTTGCTAGATGTATACAAGCAAAAGAACGAGGAGCCAACCGGTCATCTGGCTAGGATAAAGAGCGTAAGGAAAACAACGTCAGACTCGTTGACGGCCGAGGACGACCAACTCAAACAGCAAGCCGAGGCCAAGGTCTTGGAGCACATTGGCCCGGTGCAGTTCAACATGGGAGGCATCCAGGTAGATGCCGATGATATGCTCCAGAGGCTCAAGGTACATTTTTCGTCTTGGCACCTATTTTATCTCTCCTGGAAGGCCTATATGCTGACATGATTCTCAACTCATAGGAACGCCAAGCCTTCGGTACCTCTCCCGAGCCCCTTGATCCCGAGGGTGAGACTGTGGAGGAGACTCCCCAGATGGACACCGAGAACCTGCAAGCATTCTTCACTGGCCTTATGAACAGGAGCCGACAGTCATGAGCTCCGAATATCATATTATCACTTGTAATACCCATCCACTGCCGCTGTCTTCTCGCTGCTCTTGCCTCGTGCCCCAAGGTTACTCTTAACCGTTATTCTCCAACGACTTCATGAAGCAAATTAAGTTGAAGGGTCGTCGTATTCTGTCTCCTAATGAGGGCATACCGTTACTTGGTCTTTGCTGGCTTTCAGGGTTCAAGCCAAGCAATGATAACGTGGATGATTTTGAACTCTTGGCACTTACGGTCTCCAGGTCCCAAGACTATAATGATGTAGACACTCTTCAATGTACGATTAGATAGCCATCAACGTACGGCAAACACCCAAAACATGCGGTCAGTTACTACATCTGATAAGCTAGCGATGAATTTGCAGTTACGGTGGCTGTTGGCCTTGTGTAGATCAGACCCAACACCACAGAAGTGAGGTGAAAACGATGGAACGATAACTTCGATGATAGACCACAAATTCCGCGTGAATTCGATAACTGTTTGACGACCAGCGTCACAGTGTCCAGCGTCCCGATGTCCAGACGTCCAACTAACCCAAATCCAAACATGTTCCCGGTTGCTTTTGCCGAAGGATGAAAGAAAGTAACCGACTGAACACGCCCCAGGCTGTATCCTCGAATCACCTCCATCCTTCATTAAACTTGATGATCTTGGGTCTTTGATCCCGCCGAATCCATACCTCTAAACTCCATTCCTCCCGATCCCCCTTCCACTTATCTTTTGCTTTGATCTTCGTCGGTTCGGACACGATTCTTGTCATTCCATTCTGTTCCCCCCACCCCCTGAATCAAAGTACCAAGGGGTAGGAAAGGACCAAAAAAAAAAGGGAAAGAAAAAAAAAAACGGGAAAGAAACCCCCCCCCCCCCCCCCCCCCGAAAACGGAAGATGCTCCTAGATCTCCGCATCGCATAAAAAACCCTCTCTAAAAGCTCCAAAGCCACCAAGAAAAAATTCCCAATTCATCAAGTTCAATATAACCATCCCTTCCCCGACAAAATAAAAATATGCAAAAAAGCTAAGCTCGCCCGTGATACGCTTGTTGAACTAACAACAATCCGCCAAGCTGCGAAACCATGCGAAACCTGCCACGCAGAGTTTCATCAACGGTAACCACTGCGCCATAAGACCAGTTCAGTGGCTTTAGATGACTGCAGGGCTCCCCGTTGTGGTAGAGGGGCTAGGAACGGGCCCTTATATGGTGCCTGCCAGTGCCGGTGCCAGTGCCGGTGCCTGGGCTAGTCTGGGAAGGTACACAGGAAGGTACGCGGGAAGGTTTGCGGGAAGGAGGGGGTGTCTGTCATCCGATGTCCCCCCGAGAAGGGATATGACGGCTGGGCGGCAGGTGCGATGATAGAACCCGGATGGCAGGAACGAGGAAAGGCAGGAACATGGCATCCGTGTCTAGGTTCTATCGCTGCATACGTGCCACACAGCAGGTCGAGAGCATTCTTAATACTTAGACGTGAGTGACTTCGGTGTTTCGATTAGAGTAGCTAACTAATTCACGACCAGCGTCCCACAGTGTTCAAGCTTCCAAACTTCCAAACAACCCAAATCCAGATTCGCACGCCGATCTTCAGCTTCAGTCTAAGCCATTCACAGACTCGGGTTCCTTTTCCCGAATGTGAAAAGCGCCTAGCTGAATACACACAGCCTATATCCATCCTTGAAACATCCTCCAACTCAACCATCTCAGATCGGCCCGCCAAGTCCATTACTTGATATCTGCTGACAGCTCATCATCGAGTTTCCTCCTTGATCCCCATTGAGGTGAAAATCCATCCTAGTGATTGTGATGTCATTCCTCCTCCGGTACGTTCGGACCATAAGAACCGCCCCCGTTCCGCTCACATGGCTGGCAAGTACCTCCGTCATACACAGTCGTGTGTCTAAAACTACCAGTGATTTAGGACACTAATTTGTCGATATCCGTGACCTGGGCCAAGAGTCTCTCCGTATATCTCTTGCCCTACAAATAAGTACTTCCAGTCAGCCTCTCTCCCTCCCTCTCTCCCTCTCCATAGTGCAGGTCCACTCAGGGTTACGTGATTGTAGGAAACGACTTAAAGATATGTCGTTCTCCTCTCCAGGGATGGGCTGGAAGTATTCGGTCCACAGTTTGCTCAAGTTGGACTCCTCGTGGGCGTTGTAGGCTCGGTTGGAGTTGTTGCCTTTGCTCCAAGTTTCGAGGCTTTGGAAGATGGTGTTGAATTGCGCATGTTTGGGCTTACCCGTGAGGGCGATCACAAAGGTTGAAAAGTGCGACACAATGTTATTGAGGTTCTGTTTGGGAGTTGCGGCGGTGTTCGTGTTGTTTGACATTTTGATGGTGAGGTACGTTGGTGGTTTCTTGCTGTTGCTGAGAAGATGGAAGCTGATCTCTTTACTCTAGAAGACTGCCGGGATATGATAATAATACTGATGAGGGAAAGGATAGTCCATCATTGCTTGATGTCTCAGAGAGATCATCTTTATACCCAAGGCTGCTGCTGTTCATTGAGTATTCCATGTCTTCAACATGGCGAGTTGGTGTAAATACACTTCGAAGTGTATTCAAGACCAACAAGCCGCCATCCAGATCATCAAGCAACTGCTTTTTCATTATGACCTAGCAAAAAAAGTATTCCAAACTACGCCGCTGTTGGTATAAAATCTACTGACGCTTTGTGGTTTTGGACTCACTAGGCCATGTCATCATCTCGCACACGCATCCTTTCTCTTTGTATTCTCGCCTTCAAGTGGGCGATCGTTGCCGCTATCTCCAACCATATCGACGATTGGAATGTTATTTTTGGGTTGCTCGCGCTGTGTTGGGACCTGGGTATGTTCTTTCTTTTCTTTGCTTCGCCGCGATGCTCGGAAATTGAAAATTTGAACGTAGCAGGGGCCTGGGGCGGCCTGTCGACGGTCAAAGGGGAAAGACGGGATCTGGCTTCTGGCGCCAATACCAACACTCTTCGTGGTTTTTACACATAATCTTATCTTTGGGAGATTTCCAAGGCAGCGAGACACAAGTTGTTGGTATAATCAAGAAAGAGGGCGGCGGTGGAAGACTTCAAGTTTGAGTTTGAAGTTATCGCGAAACTTTTCGCTTGACCAGAAAGAACTAGCGTACAGGGTCATGGAACTGACCGTCAGTCACAAGGAAACAGTGAACAAACATAATCTGTTGAGCCGCCGGCTCGATCCACGTCGTTTTCGGAAAGGCCTGCTCCTTCCTCTTCAATCAGAAGGTCTTGCCGTTCTGGGAAAGAACCACCATCACATTCAGTCAAGACAGTTCGACCAGAGGATGTGGGAAGGAACCGATCTTGAGGACCTCTACATGCAATACATCTGGGCCGGATGCCTTCCGCAATTTTCCTCTATGATGGCTGTCGCTTACAAACCTGAAGGCAGGAGTTTTGCTGGTCGACCTAGGAGCAAGCCAGGTACACCGCAGTCGGCGGCGATTAGAATTACCGTTTGGCTAGTGAAAGGTCAAACATACCACAAAAGCCAGCGATTCGCACAAAAACGATTGGGTTATAAAGAAACCGACATTCCAGGTTGACCAGCAACTAATATCTCGACGACCAGCGCCCTAACACTTGATAACCTTTCCGGTTCAGAATCCATCACTCAACGTATCCAACGCTCGATGTCAAATCCCAAACCGACTTCCTCAGATTGCGAAGGTTGTCCTTGATTTCATTGAGCCGGCCCACGCTATGCCGTTCCCAGGAGTCCTAACCATGGTGATATAAATTTATCAGACCCGGTTCATTCGTATATCCCCCCTGTCTGCCCGTTGATAAGGGTAAAAGATGATCACTTACCCCGTTGGCATCCCCCCTCACAATCTCAGAGATCCTTGAGTGCCACAACTGCATCGTCTGAGAGCTCGTTGACAACAAGCCCCGGCTTTGTCATGGCTCTTCGGATTATTGCCTTAAGGTTGTTCGTAAACGCTTTCTCTGGGTGACCCCAATTAGACCCTTTCCTGTAGGGTGTCATGACCCTGGAAATTTGTGAATGCCCTCGTGATAGCTTGATGGTACTCTTTGTTGCTCGAGGGGTTCCATGTGCGTCCAGCGTGTGAATGTGTGGAAGTCGACATTTTGAAGATAAAGAGAGATGTAATGGATTTTTTTGCTTTGTGAGGACTAACAACTGAGAAGAACGATGCTTGCAGGTTTTCGCTTAGCCAGGCAGAATAGGGAAAACGAGAGACATTCTCTGATATTTATATCTGGAGTCCCTCAGTATCTCTTTGTCTAGAGGTAGTCATTATGGCCCTGTTTCTCTCAAGTTCGGCTCCAGATCGTGAAGTAACCAACAAGCCGCGATGTCAAGTAGCCGTACGACTTACCAGGTATTCGGCACTCCCAACCAACTTGCCGCTTTCAAAAAAAAAATCTCGTTCCTACGAACGGACTTCTCGTCCGTGTTAGAGCCACGACCAGACTCAGGTTTTGGCAAGATTACCCTCAGCGCACAATGTGCTTATTGCGTACCTGGGTACGCATAGTTTTGTTTCCAGGGTCCAGAAACATGGGATCCATCTGACACCCTGGCAAATGATTTCACCACCACTGAAGCAAAGTATGTTTCCAAGAATATATATCAATCCTCTGCCGCGGACTCATCTTTTCTGCCTTGTCATCAGCAGAAGTTGTGGGTTACGCCGATGATCAAAGAAACAGCATTCTTCCAACACCACGGCCCGTCAACGCCACCAACTCTCCAGACCTCACAGTGCCAATACACCACTTCCGCGCTTCCGCCAAGCAAGGTGAAAGCGGAATCTACATTGATGAATGACGTTAGGAGCGAGGTATACGATGCTCTAGAAAAACTCCGATACTGATGCCCTCTGACTGATATTTGAACTGCAGAGTTAGTTGGCGTCCTTCTCCCGAATCACATCACATCCATCAAACACTCAACACCCAACAGCCCTCGAGACAAGGGAAAGGCTTGACGTTGGGTGGATGCAGGTGAAGCGTCATTTAGGCCTATCTAGCAGTTGGTGTTTCAACCAGAAACGCCCTGACAGTTTCTTTATTCATGCCTTTATGCCCCTCATCTCTCCTAGTTCGAAAGAAGGAAAGGCCACAGAGAGATTAAAGAGGGATTCCACGAGTTCTCAACGGTTACAACGAAATTTCTCCGTCATTATTCTCAACCTTTTGCTTCTCAAGCCTCACAGTACGTTCCATATTCAGCCTGACAGCAGTTGATCTTCAACTACCGTTCTGTTGTATGAGCAGTACTCCTTGTTGGGTCAACTGATGGCACAGACTGATTACCGGTCTTTGTCTCGCCGACCATCTTCCTGCTTTCCATCATTCTTGTATTCATCACTATACCAATTCTGCCTGATTTGACTCAACCATCTTTACTTACCGCATAAACTCGGGCCATACGTTTTTGGGGTCTGGAGAAATCCAGTAACCTATCCCTAACCTTCGTGCAGTGTGCTAGGGTCAAGTTGCGAGATTCCCCCAAACCCCGAAAACGTATGGCCCGAGACTTTGCGGTATGCAACAAACATGTACGAAAACCCATATATTCCTGTCCAAAAAAAACTCTCATGCTTCCATTTACCCTTTTCCTCGCCATCATGGCATATCCAAAACTCAAAAACCACCGCAACTTGCATCCCACGGACTTGCTTCGTCCTCCAATTCTTTCGAGACTTTCCAACCGCGTATCGAAAAAGAAACAATCCAATCGTCTCTTGGCTGATTTCTACGACTACCGCCTAAGGAAGACCCAACTCATACAACCTATCCATACAATCCATGACCTGCATCAAATCGACCTCGATGGTTTCGCGTGACAAATGGTCTACTGTACGGCCCTAAATAGAGGTATTATTTCGAATTAGCACGTGCTGGAATGGAGCAGAGAGAACTTGAGTTGGATGGAAAGAAGAAAAAAAACCTACCTAGGTGGGTAGGCAGATTTCATATATGTTTCCTGTGAGTTCCATATAAAAAGTGTAATCGGGGGACATCGACTCGGACTTACCCACCCGCACAAGATTTTGGCCGACTTTGACAAGTAATTTGACAGAAAATACCCAAAAAATGGAAGAGAGGAATGGGTTAATTAGGCCTGGAGGTACATAGATGGCGTCCGGCACTTACGAGTCTTCTCAATCTCATCCAGCTACTTGTGACGAACCGTTACAAGCACAGGAGTATATCGCTGAGATCAGAACAACGGTAAGAATAGCCAAAAGGTACTAAATCGTAATATAATTCCTACAGCTTGACCCACTCGTCGAAGCTCCACCTTACAGGTATGTAGCTCGTAGTTGCTCTCTCCAAGTGCGCCTTGCGAGCCAAGCTGAGTTTATCAGGCAAGGTCGTATGAAACTCGTGGAAATGATGCACGACGTCGTCTTTTTCCACCCCTATAGTGTAGCAGAGCAATGCCGAAAGGACTTGTTCGCCGAGTAGGATGTCGACCATGTTTCCCATCTTGCAGGTAATTCTTTCGAGGAATTCATCGATGCACATGCTCATGGCCCTGTCCATCTTGAAGCTAATCGGGCGTGGTTGCCAATGAACAGGTGGAGCGGTGGTTAGAGGTAGAGGTATGTTGGAGGGCGTTTGACTGGATAGGATGGAGGCTGAGGGTGGGAGGTAGGAGGACTGTTGTTGATAAATGCTGGGAAGCGTGGTGGATGCTGAATATAATGATGAATGATGGATTATGAAGGTTGTTGATGATTCCCTTTTTGGCAAAGTGGGCTCGTGGTACATGTTTGTAATCGATCTTTTGTCAGAAGTTTTCGCTCAGAAAACAGTAGATGTAGCCGCTTGATCAATCTGGAAGGAGGTTTGATGCATCATCTACATGTAATGACCTCAGTCTTATTTGCTCCCCTAAGTGAGTTTTTTTTTTTTTTTTTTTTTTTCAACAGGTTGGTCTTCTGAAAAACTAAAGGCGTGTTCGGTTCCGCAGTAAAAATAGTTAACGGTAATCTCCCCCTTAACGCGCATGGTCCGCATATGCACTCATGCAGCATTAAGACACAAGAACATTCTTGCATACCGTATACAATAGAAACTCGCGAAACTAGGTACCTCTAGCTGGCAAAAGGCCTTCACTCTTTGAGAGCCTGCATATGGCAGAAATATGCTACATATCTACCAGAAAGCTGCCCCGTACACATCTGTCCAGTTACTAAAACCGAAGGATATTATCCTCAATTCTAATAACTTACACACATTTGAAGGTACAGTGACCTGCCTGATCCTGCCAGGCAGTTTAGTTTTCTGTACGTAGTTATGCCGGCGCTCAAAGGGGGAAGGCCGTTTGCCAGTTTCGTGAGTTTCTACAGTACCTCTAAGGTACCTGTAGGTAGAAGTAATAAAACCACCCCTCTTCTCCTTCATTTCTTCCTTCCCCTTTCTTCTCCCTTCAATCAGACAACAACTTTGTTGTTATTATTATCATCATCATCATCATCATTGTAATAAGGAAAGACGGGGCAGATCCCAAAGAAACCTTGGCTCTCAAAGGCCATTAGACGGGCATCCATCAACCACTTAAAGAAAAAGATTATGAATTTCAACCGGGAATGGCCTCATATCGTACATTATCTTTGCAATGGGAGCCCTACAATAAATCAGATCGAGTATTTGGAGAAGGTGCAGGTGGTTGTACATAGGTGGTTGCAGGGTGTGCACAAGAAATAGCCCTTTCGTGCCGAAACGCTTCTCTGGCGTAGTAAAGTAGGTAACTGTAACGTAATAAAGGTCTCCCGTACCAAAGATCCTAGGTAGCTTTGTAACTTCTTACCACGGAACCGAACATGCCTTAACAGTCAGTGGAAAGTGTCACTGTCAGGCCCAGGAAGGATGTCATCGCGGAATCCGATATTGGAACCGAAGACCTCCGAGGGTCAGTACCTACAAGAAGTCGGCAGTGTGGCGTCCGAGTGGTTCATGAATGCTGATACTATCTGGAGAAGATGTCAAGCTACGCAACAGTACACCTCACTTCGCTGGCATGTTTACCACAAGTCAACATCGCAGTAGGGATAAACACGCCGTACCCAAAACCGTGAGTATTTCGCTGATTACGTAACTACTTGATATACCCGTTATGTGAACTACTCTCTGTCCATGTATCCCCCCAAGACCCTCTCACATACGCCTCTCCTTTCGCATCAACCCCGAGCCATTGAACAAGGAATTTGCCTAGCCTAGGCATGGAATAATATCTTCTCGAAACCTGCATGTAATTCATATACCCTTGATCCCACTGTATCCTTGATCTTTCCTCTGCCCGGAGCCATCACTGTACAACGCTTCTGGACCATACAGGCAATCCTCGCTTTACCCAGCCAATATCACGTATCAACGCTCTTCCGCTTTCATCTAATTTATCATGTATTTGGCATTCCAAAACACGGCAATCCAATCCCATCTTTAACATTAAATCACGTTGCCACCTGTGCTTCGAGACCAACCTTATTTTCGGAGAGTTGGAGGGATGTACTTCGCAGAGCTGGGCGTGCCGTTCTGGTTGGATGTGTCGCTCTCGCTGCGGTTGCGCCAGTGGCCGTGGGACTGGCCTTGAGGCGTACCGTTCTGGGTGGATGTGCGGCTCTCGCTGCGCCAGTGGCCATGGGACTGGCCTTGAGGCGTGCCGTTGTGGTTAGGTATACCGCTCTCGCTGCGCCAGCGGCCGTGGGGCTGGCCTTGAGGTATGCCGTTCTGGGTACATATACGGCCCTCGCTGCGCCCGCGGGCATGGGAATGGCCTTGAGGCGTGCCGTTGTGGTTGGATGTGCCGCTCTCGCTGCGCCAGCGGGCATGGGAATGGCCTTGAGGTGTGCCGTTCTGGGTGGTCGCGCCATTCTGCTTGGCTGGGTTAGTCTGGCTGGGTGGTGTGCAGTTCTGATTTTGTGTGGAATTGGCCCAGGGAAGCTCAATATCACAGCACATGTTCATGCGATCTTTGAGGTGTGTATAGAGTACCTCGTGGATGAGTTGAGTGGCTTGGTCTATGACCGGGGCTTCTCCGGACTCGGTTATCTGATCCGGATGAAACAACACAACAGCGTCCGAGTTAAAGAAACGTTTCTTCTTATTTGGTTAGCTAGGTAGGTAGGTTGGAAGGCGGGGAAGAGTAGTATGGAATGGGAACGGTGGTAGGGGGTTGGGGTTGAGACCACTCACCTGAAGAATCTTGCTGTTGCAGGCAAAGATTTTCTGCATCGTCATTCCCACCTCCTCGAGCAAATACCTCAACTGAGCCAGTTCCTTGTGGCTATCGCATCGTTCAACCGGGCCCAAATTCGGGCGGGCAGTCTGGAATTCGATACTGTAGGATTTAAAGCGTCGGAATGCTTTGAACCAGTCCGGCTTCCAATTGCCCTCCGGAAACAATATCGAGATAAACTCGTACTTGAACAGCGTGGGAAGCTGCTCAAGAATTACGGAGATCTTTTTATCGATATAACTACGGACTTCGTTCATCTCGGCGGTGAACAAACCGGACCCTCGTTGGCAATGCTGTGATATTGTTGATACACTGGGGATCGTCGGGACGTGTTCTTGGTAAGCGGCAACACGTACAGCTGTTCAGGATGATGACTTTGGAAAAGAATGTAGACTTGAATGATTGATGATTGTGTTGATGTTGACGACAAAAATATTTTGTTCGGTGTAATGGGGAAGAATCGAAACAAGACCCAGAGGTGTTTAAGGCAAATCCAATTTCTCGGTTCACAGACAATCGTTCATCTACTCCAGCTGGCGCCTTCCTTCAAAGTAGCTCAGCAGGGACGAGCAACTGCGTCAGGGGACCATGGCCGCAGGAGCGTAACATCCCAAGTAGGTAGTCCCTTAGCCGATGATTAATGAAGGAGATGGCGCTTGTCGTTCCAGTCGTAGAGAGCGAGATCTTTTCCCAAATCGTAGTCGGGACCTGATGATACCGGGGAAAGAGCCGCTACAAATGGCTTCCGTACGTGCTGTCGATAGCGGATGCTTTCTATCACCGGCCATGACTTCCACCTGCAACCTAGATTGGCGGCGATGAGGTCGTCCACAAAACTCGACCGATAACACATGATGAGCCAAGTGGTGGGGATCAAAAATGCTTGTCATGATTATTTGCTCCCATATTCATGTCTGGCATGTTTGGTACGCAAATCAGAAACACAAATCGCGGAGTTATCGCAGAGTGTCCGCGCAGTGTTCTCACCCGCGTGGGCGTGATCGGGAAAGAGCGCGCAGGCAGAGTCCCGCCTCTTGGCGAAAATGCACTTACAGTACACGCAGATATGCAACTAAACGTGAAAGTTGAAATAATTGGTATCAACCTCTATTGCGAAATCCGCTTCACTATGCAACTATTTCCAAAATGATGACTAAATCTTCCTGAACTCCGATAAATCTGAGTGAGTTGGTCCGTGGAAAGAGTATATGTTTTTTCTCGACGAGCCCCCCCCCCCCCCCCCCCCCCCCCCACCCTTATTTCATCATGCCCACTCAAGCATCAGACCCAAGCAAAAGGGCGCTCGCCCCAGCGCTGGGCGTCTTCCAATACTGCTTCAGCGAAGCCGTATTTTCGACTTTGACCCGAGTCTCCCTGACACCCAACCTCAAAGTCACAACGCCGGCCAAGAGACTGACAAACAGCCAAGGATATTGGAGGATCTCGGCCTCGAAGGCATTAATGGTTTCGATAGCCTGGCGAATGTAGGGCTTCTCATCGAGGATGGTGCCGAGACGGAAAAGATTGGAGGCGGAAACGGCGTTAGTTGACGGTTGGGACTTGTCCATGCCGCTCTTGAGGCGAAGGATGGTGTGGCTGAGAGTCGCTTCCTCAGTTGAGTAGAAGCCGCCTGTGTACGAGTGGCGGAGGGTGGGAGTGTTGCCGACGACGGGTGTGTCGTAGAAGAGTTCACTTTGAACGTCTGGATAAATCAATGTCAGTATCTCCCAGTTGGGAAATGGAAGGCTGAGGATGGGTTTGGCACGTACCTTGCAGCTCCTTGGCCCAAACAAGCCACTTGGCCTCTAGAGTCGCCTCATACAAGTCAAGCAAGCCCTCAATCAAGAACGCATAATCATCCGCAAACGCCCTTGTGTCGCTTGGCTGATTGAACCAGAACCTCTTGAGTACTTTGCGGTTCTGTGTGCCATCCTGGACCCATAAGTTCTCCTTGATGAAGGTTGCGGCCTGCCGCGCCGCTTCCAAATATCTCTTGCTCTTCGTTTTCTCTAGGTCACTCACTGCAGCACCTGTTCTCGCAAGCGCCGAGATCACCATTCCGTTGACTCCAACCACTACCTTTTCATCTCTCGCAGGCCTTGGCCTCTCCTGTTCTCTGCGTGCCCTCAGCCTTTCCCGTGCCGTTGCAATCGTTTTCTTGATATCATTCACAGGGATGCCAAACTGTTTTGACAGGGCCTGGATATCTCTACCCCAGACGGAGCACAGAACGTTCTGATTGATGAACTCGTCATGAGGGTCCTGATCGCGGGGGATGTTTCCATCCTCAAGAACGTTCCAGTACGCCGCCGCCACTTCTGCAGAGCCGGCCGGCCCAACCACGCCATCAAACTCCCGGCGCGTCCACAGATAGTAGGCACCTTCACGCATGTGCCGGTCGCCCTTGCGATAGAAGGAGTCTGCTGCCTCACTTGTGACAAAGCCGCCCCCGGAGGACTGAATCAGCGGGCTTGTGAGATAATCGGCAAGATCGATAACCACGTCGGCAAATTCGTCTTCCAAAGAAAGTCGGGTCTCAGCGCCAGGTTTTTCAACACGGCCAAGCCAGGCGTCGAGGAAAACCCCTAGAAGAAGAGCATTCTCCCCGATCATCTTTTCAAAGTGCGGCATGCTCCAATCGCTGGTGACGCTGAATCGCATGAAGCCGGCGCCGACATGATCCCTCAATCCGCCATCGCGAATGCGACGCAAGGTGCTCCGTGCCATAGATGCGGCGTTCTCGACCTCCTTGTCGCCGACTACGTCTCTCACCTCCTTGGGGAACTGCGCCAGCCGAAGCAAGAACGAAAGCCGGGCCGGGTTGGGGAACTTTGGTGTTCCGAAACCGCAGTCCACAGGGTCGAACATCTTGAAGATCCTGTCCAAAGCTTCATCCAGCTGATCCAAGTCCAGATCAGCGCCTGCCTCCACGTCAGCTGCCGCTACAGGAGCTACCACGGGCACTGGCTCGGCAGGTGTGCCGCTAAAGGTGCCTTCCTGCGCAAAGTCCTGCAGCTTGTGAAGCATCTCAAACGCCTCCCGACGGCACCGCTCCTCCTGCTCCACCCAGAACTTGTAGATCTTCTTTGCTATGGCAAGGAAATCATTGTAGGACTCTTCACCACCACCGTTGATACTGGAAGCCTCGAGGGTTGCGGCGCCACCACCGACGCCGCCGGTGCCTCCGTGGGCAGCGGCAAGGCTGTGCTCGGTTCCGGGACCGGGCCAGTAAGTACCGCCAAAGATGGGGTAGAGGTCGGGGGTAAGGAAGAGGTTGAGAGGCCAGCCGCCGGTAGCATTTACAGCTTCGCTATAGTTCTGGTAGATGGTGTCGAGGTCCGGGCGCTCTTCGCGATCGATGATGACGGGGATGAAGGACGAGTTCAGAAAGGCGGCAACGGCGTGGTTGGAGAAGGAATCTTGAGTTGTAAGGCGACAGTCTGGATAAGGAATATGGTTAGCAAAAAGCCGCAGTCAAAACCGCCAGATATAGTGGCAAAAGAAGGCCAGCAGGGCAAAAAGACAAAAACATACGATGGTCGGCTAAGAAGCCAATGTGCATGAAGATAGGCTTATTTTCAGCCTGGGCGCGCTTCAAGGTATCGGCATCGAGAAACTGCCAGGCAACATGTGTTTTAGCGTGTAGGCGCACATAGGGACTCTGACTTTCGGCGGCACGGTTCCGCAGTTGTCCGAAAGAGGCCGGCTGCCGTGTGTCGGAGGTGGCAGGAGGAGCTTGCGATCCCGTTGCGCCCGTCGATGCCGTCCCTGTCAAAGCATTCGCAGACACGGGACCATTGCCGGTCCGAGACGGTAGGCTTTGATGAAGCTGTTGCTGGGAAGGCTGGAGTTGCTGCTGGTTTTGCTGTTTTGGTTGCTGTTGGTGTTGTTGATCTTGTTGCTGCCTTTGCTGCTGCTGTTGAAGCTGTGCGGACATCATCTTGGGCAACTGGATGGAAGCACTAGGCAGAGCTGCTTTCCGGGATTGCTTCAAAGCAGACGACACTGAAGACGGATAGTAGCAGCTGGAGGGCAGGATGAGTCTGGAAATCGAGGGTTTGCACTTGCTGGGGAAGAGGTGCGTCCGGAAAGTGAAAACCGTAAATAGCAGGTTGGGAAGTTCAGGTTGGGAATAGTAACAATGACGGTTGGGCGGTTGTAAACAACTTCGATTACCACCAAGTAACGTAACGGAATCGTGAAAAGAAGGACGGGAGAAGGGTCCAGAGAGCACTTTTGGGACTTTTGGGGCAGGCGCAGCAAGCGAATCGAGTCGCGGGAAGCCGGGAAACTGACCCAAAGGCGGGACGGGGCAGGTGGGGGGTTGCCGGCGGAGGCTAGGTGCACTTCGCCGCCGTGGATGTGGATGCCGCTAAGAAGGAACCTGTTAGTAGCTGAATCCAGCGGGCAACTCGACCCTCACAACACTGTGACATCTGTGACACTCATACTGTGGCGGATGCCCGGTATGAGATCTGCTCATGAGGTCTCTATTATGCGCAGGTGCTATCTGGAACTACGGGAGAGCCCGGACCACCTCTACCCCCCTTCTTATCTACCTACCTTATCTTCTCAAACTCTTCCTATGGTTTTAGGACATCGTGGCCAGTCTACCATTTTGTTCACCTTATGGTCTGTGCGCCTTCTTTTGTTTACAGTCATCGCAGCTGCCCCTTTTCAAAGCTGCATGGTAGATGCCAAAACCAATATCGAGGCAAGAGCATAATATCGCAGCACCTGCCAGTGGCTGTCAAGCTTGCAGCACCATAGGTACCGTAATTACCTGGCATCTCAGTTCTCCCGCAGCTACCCGAGGACTACCTCCTCTTTTGATAATTCTACCCCTGAGCTAATTAAGTCACTTCGACTGCAGTCCGTGTGTGTCAAATGGCTTTTTGCTGGGAGCTTGGGATGCAGGCGGCGCGTGGACTTCTACACCGTCAGGCCATACCTAGACCAAGGGCAAACTTTCCCCCTGGCAGCGGCGATGCAGCGACTTCATGCGGGAAAAGAGCCAAAGTTGCAAACCCAACCTGTCCCCAAGTCTTGGTCCAAGTCACCTCCAACTGCCTCTGCCACGTGCCGCGTACACAGGCTCAGCCTTGATCTCTGCACAAAAGAAACTGCGGCTCAACCTACATCTACCTTCTCGTTGCTTGCTTACGAGGCTCTCTACCACGAGCAGACACCTCTGACACTTATCTGCTTCTCACCTTCAGCTCCAATACCGACAAGCAAGGCCCTCATACCAATGACTGCGCATACAGCACGACATCTTGGCAGCGCTCGTGAACAGCTTGTGATGCGTGCTGCCTACATCTACATGATAGTAACACTGTCATCGACTTTGCCTCTGTGTCCTTGTATCGGTTTGTTATCCGGCTTTCCCCAATGGCCTCCCACTCTGCTGAATCCGAAGGCTCACAAGATTTCCTAGGTGATTTCGACTTCTAAACCGGCTGACTGGCTCAACTGGGTCATCCAACTGGGACACTTCGTCAAGGGCAGCCTACATGCCAGCTGCTTCTCCTTGTTGCTCGCTCCAGCATGCCATTTTACTGGTCTCTAGACACTAAGGCCATACCCCATACAAGAGGGGATCTAGTATACGTGTTCTTCTGCAACCTGGAAGCTCCTCAACCGGACCTTACCCCAAAGTCTACATGAACAGGCCCGAAAGTAGCCAACATATTCCCGCAGAATCTTGAACCGGGGCTCATAATGGCGATGGTGTCGGCGCCAAGGATGGACTCGCAGATAAAAGATCCAACTGCCCAACGAGGCCGACACTCTCACGACGGAAACCAGGAAGAAGCACGCGATAGTGTCGCTTCTGCGGCCACAGTCTGAATGCAACCCGATGTGTCCTTACCAGCAGTCAGTGAATGAAAATCATCCGGAGTTGGTCCCGATTCTGGCCAAGGTTCATGACACGCCGATCGGCATCCCGAGGTTGAAATCTCACCATCCATTTCCTTCTTTATCCTCAGGCATGCATACCGGGGCAAGGTACTGCGGAACCGCCACCTGGGCGGCCAACCAGTCAAGGGGCATAGGCCTCATGTCATCAACACGCTCATGCTTAGATTCGCAACATCTGGTCGGCCGTCCATGGTGTCATGCTTGGCTCGAAGCTTCCATAGAGGTACCGTGAGGCGAGGCTATTTTGGCTTGACTACCGCAGAATCCCGGGGCGTTGGGTTTCGGGATTGTGGCTAATTCTCTGCTACAACCCTCGATCGAGTGCCTTAAGGCTAGGGTTTTCGGTGTGATTTGTAAGAACCCCGAAACCCAACTCCCCGGGATTCTGCGGTATGCTCACAGCAGCGGGCTTCATCTGCTCGGATACCACTGCATATTTTTTCCATCATTGAGTGGTTTCAGTCTCGGCTCCGCAGCTACAATTTCACTTGCTTGGCTCAAGTTACAACACATGGCATTGCATTTGGTATCATGTTGCCTACCGACGGGACTGGCCATTAGCCACTGGCGAGATGTATTCTCACTTCCTCGCGTTGTGAAGCACGTTGCTACTCAGCATTCAGGATCTGGTCGTTTCGCTGAGGCTTTTCTCTGGGCTGAGCCTGCTGAGTAGCCTGGTGCCTGATGCGGTCGCTTTGCATACCAGCGGACCAAAGCTTCCAGCATCATATCGACAACAACTTGCCACCTTCGTATCCCCTCCGCGCCCAGAGGCCATTCCCCTGCAACAGGCCACTTGATCCTCCAGGAAACAGCAAGAAGGGTGCGTTGGGCATGGCTTTACAGCATTCTACGAGCTTGGAGATCGATCAATCATGCAGATAGCGTTTGTTGCACGTGGCCTACAGAGTGTTGACATGTTCAGAAGAGACAGATAAAATGCCCCGTTCCCCTCTTTTTTGCTGGTTCGTTCTTTACCCGTCTCACGTCTCATTTACTCACAACCTCCAAACCGTTGGGTCTGTTCATCAGCTTCACTGAGGGCATTTGGACAGAAGCACCCTGGCAAAATGAGAGGCCAACTGTCGGCCAGTTTGCCGTGGCCTTGGGGTTCTTGATGCCTCGATCTGTGGTGGGCTCCGAATTTCGGGCGCTAACCCAGGTCCCCTTTCCTGTTCCCGGCTATCTGGGCCCCATTGCGATTGGAAATCTTACCCTTCGTGCTCCCTTGGACCCAGACGGCTCGGATCCCTTTTTGGGTAAGTAGAACTATTGGCCCCAAAACCATTGCAGAGTGTCCGCTTACACCCAGATAGGCAGCCGCTTTCTGTCGGCCAATTACACCGTCACCCCGGAGCAGTGCACTGCCTACTGCGAGACCACCACAGAAAATAATAAGGCACATCCTGCCGCTGATGGATCATATACCTCTTGCGTAAGTCTTAAGAAGATCCAGATGGAGATTTGCAAGGCATGGCTAACAAGATAATTTCCTACATAGAACTTTGTTATCTCTTATTTAGTCAGTAGCAATGGCGTGTTTGAGGGCATCCAGTGCGTCCTATACACTCATGAATTTGCTGTAGGTGGTACCTGCTGTTCCTGAAGACAAAACCCAAGTTTTAGACGACTGACTCTAGATACAAAAGCTCCCATCCTTTACTCCTGGCGATGGAAACACGGTCGGTTACGCATACGTGCGTGACCCTAGCTTGTGTACTACTCCAACTGGCTCTCCCACTCTTCATTCACCCACCCTCCGCTCATCAGCAAGTAATACTGCGAGTGTCACCCAGACCACGCCGACTACTTCTGCTGGCCAGTCTGTCACTTCCGCCACATCGACTTCGGCTAGTACAATTAACTCTGCCACCACATCGAGCACTTCCGCTAGCACCTCGGATGCTTCTGCTAGTACCTTGACCACTTCTGCCACCACATCGAGCACTTCTGCTGGTACCTCGAGTGCTGCTGCTAGTACCTCGACCACTTCCGCTACTACATCGAGCACTTCTGCGAGCGTCTCGAGCACAACTAGCACTGTTACTATTACTGGTGTACCCACGACGTCGACGAACACTTCTACCATCATTTGTGTGCCTACAACCCTGTCGACCAACTCTACCAGCACCAGCGCTAGTGTGCCGACCACAACTTCCAGTAGTTCTACCAGCACGGTCCAAACTACCACTACGTTGTCGACTACAAGCCAGCCTACTACTACGCTGCCTACAGCACAGTCAAGCACTACTTCAAGTACCGTGAGCGCAGGAACAACAAGCCCTAGCACATCAACCACTATTTATCCTGGTACCACGAGCATCCGCCCCGGAACGACCAGCACGGGAAGTACAACAATTACTCTTCCGGGCACCACCAGCACTCGTGCTTCAACGACAACCAGTTCCGGCACAACGGTTACTCTGTCAAGTACAACGAGCACCCTTCCTAGAACGACCAGCACAAGTTTGACGACAACTCGTACCCGCACTACGATTACTCTTTCAAGCACACGCACTCACACATCCACGACTACTATCCCTGAGACAGCGAGCACCAGTACTTCAACAACTACCCTTTCTGGTACAACGGTCATTATTCCGAGCACGACGAGTACTCTTGCTTCGACAGCCACTCATTCGGAAACTACTAGTACTCGCCCTACAACGAACACTGGTTTATCAACGACAACTCAGTCTATTACAACGATTATCCGAACTTCAACCAGTACTAGCTTTGGGACGACGAGTACTTTGACGTCAACAACAACAAGCCCTGGCTCAACGTCTAACACTGCTACTACCAAGGCTACTACGAGTACACTAACCTCGACAAGTAGTAGCCCTGGTACAACAAGCACAGGAACGTCTACAACCACGAGCCCTGGGACGACGAGCACCAGCACGTTCACATCTACACGTTCCAGTAAGACTAGTACTAGGACAACCACGAGTACGGGCTCTGGAACAACGAGCATTGGAACATCTATTAGTACACGCCCCGGAACGACCGGCACGTTACATCCACAAGCGCACGTTCGGCCACCACTAGCACTCAGACTTCCACATCTACGGCC